ATAAAGGTCCTAAGTGTAATAACTTTTGGCCCTAAATGTAATAAAGGTCCTAAGTGTAATAACTTTTGGCCCTAAATGTAATAAAGGTCCTAAGTGTAATTCTTTCAGCTCTTTATATGCTTAGGGCCATAAGAAGACTTCGTAGTGTTGGATTTTAGCCTTATTACAGGTTAACTGAGCGCCAGAATGTGTCTAGGGAAGTATCAAACACTAAATACCCCAGGCAGATCCCCTATATAGCCATTTCAGTAACAACTTTTTATTATTATTATTATTATTATTATTATTATTGATATTATCATTATCATTGTTATTTTTGTTGTTATTATTAACTGAAAAGAATGTCTCATCGAAATGAATTGTAAATAATCCTTTGACCGAATAGTGATTAATTGTAAGTAGGTTTTAATAGTTAGAATTGTTATCAATAATACTTCTTTAACGACAACTTGAGAACAGAGGTCAATAATATGAAGTAATTTTTTTAAGAACTCTTTAATATCAAAAAAGTACTGACGTATCTTAAAATTTATGCAACAAAGCAAAGAAACCGTAACTTCATCCATTGGATTGAACTGAAAAATCTGCTTCATATAGGCAAAGTCCAAAAATGTCAAAATTGCAGCCTGCAGTGCCATAATGATTTCTAATCCGAATCAATAACACAACATCAGCTAAACTGTTTTTACTTTGTCTGTTAACAAATGGGTGCAAGAAAGTGTACTTTAATTGCTTCCTCGTCCTTTCCACCATACATTGGTAACATAAAACCAAGTTCCAACCCCAGCAAACAACAGCTCAACCCACGCATTTATCCATCTGGGGTTGGCTATTATCTCCTTAAGAGCCAGCACAAGTCCACTGTATGAGCCAAAATCTTTGCACAACTTGCGTAAGCTGAAACAGCCATTTCGCGCAGTGTCGCGATGCTTGTAACTTATTCGTGGGAGCCGACAAATGTAACGCATTGTGAGTTCTTTAAAGGGTTCACCAAGCTGGCAAAGGGAATTATAGGTGATAATAATACTTATGTGAGTTCCAGTTAACGCGAAGTCTATTATTTTGTCGAGTATTTCATTTGGAAGTTGACTGGTTTGACCACCATTATCATCACCACCACCATTATCATCATAATCACAATCATCATTTTCTTCTTCTTCCTCTTCTTCCTCCTCCTCCTCTTCTTCGTCTTCGTCCTCCTCCTCTTCTTTTTCTTCTTCTTCTTCTTCTTCTTCTTCTTCTTCTTCTTCTTCCTCCTCCTCTTTTTTTTCTTCTTCTTCTTCTGTTTCTCTCTGATCATCACCAACGTTGTTATTTTGTTCGTATTCCATAAGACCATCATCATCTTCTCCTTCTTTCCGATCTCCATCATTAGTATGACACTTGGTATGATTTTTCTGATTAGCAACGCTCTCAACGGGTACGTCAACGACAATATTTTCTTCTTGGGTCAGACCGTTAAGTGCGATATAGTGTTCACCGTGGTTTTCCGCAAAATGTCCAATGAAAAGTGTTGTTGCTGGAACATTTAGGCTAGGATGAAACACATGGCTAGCACCAGCACCAAGCGATGATATTATGTGAATGTTAACGTTATAAAGGTTTGCTGCAGCGTATAACGTCAGTTGATCGCCGTAGGTGTGGTCTTGTGCCATGTGGGTAAGGTACTGTGGCCATGAATCAAAGTATGGAACCCATTCGTACAACGGAAAACCATCTTCATCCAGTGGATTTGTTTCCAGATATTTAACAATTTCCTCCCTCATGGTTTCTGGCGACCTTAAGATTCCCAGTGAACTAAGATGATATGCCAAAGCGGCAAACTGGCAGTTTCCGTTCCCTGGGGGATTGTATACTAATTTATGTCCTTGATCTTCTATTATCTTAAGGTAGTCGTCACTTCCCATTAGAACAAGAAATTTTTCCCTGTGTAATTTACTTTTTTCTTTTTCAATTCTTGCCGCTTTTTGCTTTAGGTTTTCTTCTCTCAGAGTCAGGCTTGTGATGTCCACAACACTGAACCACCGTCGTTCACGCCTTCCAGATGACGGCGACTTAAACGAGACTTTGTATGACTGCTTTTTTAGAATTCTTTTTTCTACTACAGCTTCTATTACTTGTTGTTTTCTTGAAGTTTTGCCCTTTTTACTGAGTCGGACGTGAACTTTCTCACCTATTCTGTATCTTGAGGGAGGATTCGATTTTAAGTGCGTCTTAACCATTCTTCGATGGCAACGTTCAGTCGCAGCATGAGCCGCTTTTCGGACATCTTGAGCTCTTCGGCAACGACGTTCTCTATCCTTGCAGCTTGGATTGCATCCGCCAGCATTTCTTACCAACTCTTCACTTTCCATAGCTCGGTTAGTATGGGAACTAGGTTTGCGTGCAAAATATACTTCAAACGGAGATTTGTACTTTAAAACTTCTTTGGGTTCCTCGTTTAAAATTTTCTGGTACTCAGGTAGTGCTTTCGCCCAATTTAGACCTTTTTTCCCCATTTTTAAAAAATCATATTCCATCTTGGAACGTAGAGCGCGATGACTTCTTTCTATTTTACCTTGCTACTGGGGATGGTATGGGCGGCTGTGTACCATATTTACTTTTAATTTACGACAAAGTCCTTTAACAGCTCCTTTGAATTCAGAGCCTTGGTCACTTTGAAGTACAATAGGGGGACCATTTTCCATGTATATAGTCTTTAACTCAGCCGCAACCGCTTTGCTAGTTTTACTTACAAGAGGTCTAAGCCAAATGAACCGACTAAAAACATCCATAACGGACAGTACATATCGATAAACAATTCCTTCAAATTCAACGCTTCCACGCTTTCCAAGATCCATTAGATCCACCTGATGTCTGACTTGCACATCTCGCGCTCGGATCGGCTTAAGGATTGCTTTGTTTAGAAATCTGGCATTTCTGCAGTAATGCAGTTTGTACTTGTTCAAAATNAGCCTTGGTCACTTTGAAGTACAATAGGGGGACCATTTTCCATGTATATAGTCTTTAACTCAGCCGCAACCGCTTTGCTAGTTTTACTTACAAGAGGTCTAAGCCAAATGAACCGACTAAAAACATCCATAACGGACAGTACATATCGATAAACAATTCCTTCAAATTCAACGCTTCCACGCTTTCCAAGATCCATTAGATCCACCTGATGTCTGACTTGCACATCTCGCGCTCGGATCGGCTTAAGGATTGCTTTGTTTAGAAATCTGGCATTTCTGCAGTAATGCAGTTTGTCCTTGTTCAAAATGTCCTGTACACGGTTTTTACTAAGACCGACGAAATTTTCTTTCAAAGAGCAGACAATCTTTCTAGCTCCAGATCCCTTTGTGCGATGGAACTCGTCTGCAACAACGCGATTAACTTCCGAGCTCCTTAATACTCGAAGATTTTTGTAGAAAAGAACCTCTTTGCTGTTTTCTTCTCGGATACTCAGTTGGCCTCTAGATCTCCAAAGGCGTATAGCAGCAGACTTTTGAGCTCTGTTCCTCTCTTTTACTGGTGGAAGTGAGTCACCTTTGACAAGTAAGAGCAAGGCATCATAAATATTATCTGAAATTGCAGAGGGCTTTCTATTTCCTCGTCCTTCCACTTTTTTTGCAGCCAATACAAAACTGACTAAAACGAAGAAACTAACAAGACTTAAAACAAGGAGCAATGATCTCTTCATTTTGAAGCAAACTCAATCAAGAAAGCATTCAACACGTAACACGACCATCGGATAAAAGTTTCTAGATTCTGGCATGTCTAGACTTAATTTGTCTAGACACTTGTTACGTCACAGGTGAGGGAACAAATCAAAACTGCATTGCTAGGCAAACTTAATTGCAAAGTGCCTTCCAGAGGGGAGAAACTCGCGTGTTGTTGATGTTTTGATTTTTCCCTTAATGTTAGGTCTAAAGAAAACAAAGATTTTGGGTCTTCAAAGTAGAGTTCCTTATACACTCGCTAGAAAAACAGGAAAGCCAGCTGTTATTTGGAAATGTGATTTCATTCATGTGGTGAAATCCTGGAAAAAAAAGTTAGCATAAAAATTCACTTCAAGAAGTACTCCTGGTAGAAATTAAAATCAAAGTCAGGAAGTCAGAAAAACTATCAAGATAAACTGCCCTTAATAATCTTGCTGTTTATATATAACTTCGTGTTCACAGCAGATTCGATCATTCTGTATGACCCGACCGACATACTCTTTTGGAAAATGATAAAAAAAAAAACCCAAAAATTAATGAACCATTTCTCTCTTTGGCGCAACATTAAAAAACCCCATAGGCAAAAGTAGTTAATTTACTACGATTGTTTCTAATGAACATTAATACTTCCTTCAATTACTAAATTACTACTGTATTTTGAAAACTTTTGCGTAGATTCCATTTGTTTATAACTCGCGTTTCACGATGTAGGGATGTCACGGTAGTAAGAAACACGATCGAGACGTAGTTAATTAACAAGTGTTTCTCCTACTTCTTGAGCGCTCTAGCCGCTTTCTAAGACAATGAATATCTATGAAGACTACAATAGGGCGAAGAAAGTGAATCACCAGCTGGCTATAACATTAATATCGCATCAGACCGTCGCATGTTTCAGTCAGCGACTTTATCAAGTTTGTAGCTGTTATACTACATACATGTATGCTGTTAAGAATTTCATTACATTCAGGGCTAAAACCTATTACACATATAATTAGACCCTTTATTACATTTAGGGCCAAAAGTTATTACACTTAGGACCTTTATTACATTTAGGGCCAAAAGTTATTACACTTAGGACCTTTATTACATTTAAGGCCAAAAGTTATTACACTTAAGACCTTTATTACATTTAGGGTCATTTATTACATTTGAGGCCTCAACAGTATACAGTCCCGGCTTAAAAATGGTACTAAACAAAAGAAGCAAGACTGATTTTACAGTCGGGAATATATATATTTTTTACCAATATTTCGGAAGACACGGCCTTCCTTCTTCAGGGTCTTACATACAGTGTTGGGGTTGAGCTAAGACGTTACAATTTAAAATAAAGAAAAGCGTGCAATATTATACTATAATTAAATGTGAAAATTTAAATAAGAAAAAAGTGAACGTTAAGGAAAACAAAAATCGTTGAAGTAGTGATATAAAAGAAATGTCAAATGTAAAAATAGTATAAATAAATGACAACAAACAAAAGGAATAAAGATTGTATTACATTTCATCTTTCTTATTGATACCAGAGGGTTCAAGAGTTTTTACCTCCTTCGATGAGGTATGCTTCTCTAGCTTTTCGTACACTGTCTCTATTAGATTTAATGAGCTCTAGTGGAATAAGTGTGATGTCGTTTGCAGAGTGGTCATTAGTAAGAAAGTGTTCTGAGACTGTGGTTA